TAGCAGAACACCTCAGTTCAAACTGGATCCCAGTGGCAGCTTTTAGAGGTGGGACAGGGAGATACGGGGCATCTTGTAATCCCCGGAGCTAGCGGAACGGGACGAGAAGAGGGGTAGATCTTCCAAGGGCATAGCCAACAGTTGGGGCAAGAGGGCCTCCCCGCCTGGGGCCCAGCTATCCTCTTTTGAGTCTTGTACATTTGGGCCAAAGCTTCCGTGAAAAGGCCGAAGGTCTGGGCATTGTTTCTGGCACCAAGCAGAGGCCTGGCTGGACTGGCACTAGCCCCCCCCTTCCTCCTCCTCCTCCCGTGCCAGACTCCCAGCCCCCTGGCAACCAGAGCTGCCTTTGCTGCAAAAGGGGGGTCGGGTGGCACAGCCCCAGGGATGCCACGGGCAGTTTCGGCGGGCATCGATGCCCCCTTTGGATGCTCGGATTATTTTCCAAGGGGGCGGGGGCGGTCTTTGTATTTGGATGGAGAGGGATGGCTGCTGGGGTCGGAGGAACGCAAGCCGCGGGTGCGTGCAGCAAAAGACCCCGCTGGAAAGCAGGATGCCACCCTCCCACCCCTCTCTCTCTCGCCCCTCCGGAGGGCCCGATCCTCTCTCCTCCTGGGCTTCCAACCCGGGAGCCGCGGCTTTACCTTCCTGCTCAGCTTGACGATGCGCTCGAGCCAGGTTTCGTCCCGCATGAGGGCGCGGAGTTGCGCCGTGCTGAGCGCCCCGAAGCCCAGATCTACCGCCGAGGCCCGCGGGCCCCGATCGCGCTCCATGATGTGGACGGAGCAGACGGAGCGGCCGCACCTGGAGGAGCGGGATCCTGCACCTGCACCTGCACCGCCGCCGCAGACCGCCAGAGGGCGGCCCCGCCGCTCTTAAAGGGGCCGCCTCCGCCGAGCTTCCGTTGTTTCGGCTGGGGAGGAGGGTGGGCGCGGCAGAAAGTCGGCGCAGGCGGCGGCGAAGGAGGGCGTTAATTGCACGTGCTGGGCAGCCCCCTCCTCTCAAAGGAGGAGAGCAGACAAAGGGGAGGGGGCTCTCCTGCCTGGAAGGCAGAGGGAGCGTCTGAGCATGTGCAAAGTACCCAGCCCGTCGCCGCGTGCGAGGGATCTCGGGGGTGGGGGGGGGAGAGAAAGGATGCGTTTCTGCGCCGTGAAAATTGGACTGTCGCTTGGTGGCTGCGAGCGTGTGTGTCACCTCCTCTTTGTGTTAAGCTTTAAGGCAGGCCGGGGCCAGGGAGGCGGGAATGCCCGGCTTGGTGTGAGGTCTTTAGCCTCTTTCATTTTATGTATGATTAACTGATTTAATCCGCCGTCAGCCTTAGAAGGAGCCCGAAGCGGGGCATACGGGGTAATTCTTCATGGTATCCTCATAACGACCCTGAAGTAGGCCGGTGCTGGGCAAAATGAACAGATCTCTGATGATGATGATCATGATGATAAATGTATATGCTGCCTGGTGGTGGGACGATCATCTAATGGAATAGGGATAGGGAAGAATAGAATAGAATAGAGAATAGAATAGAATAGAATAGAATAGAATAGGATAGGGATAGGGATAGAATGGAATGGAATGGAATGGAATGGAATGGAATGGAATAGGAATTAGAATAGAATAGGATAAGGATAGAATAGAATAGAATAGAATAGAATAGAATAGAATAGAATAGAATAGAATAGAATAGAATAGAATAGAATAGAATAGAATAGAAATGGAATAGGAATGGAATAGAATAGGAATAGGAATGGAATGGAATGGAATGGAATTTTTTTTTTAAATGAGCCTCATGGTCCAGTGGGGATTTGAACCTTGGCCCCTTTGACCCTTTGATCCCCTTTGGTGCAATTAACATTCCTAGTAGATGGTTTAAGCACCCTTTTATAAATCCATCAAAAGTGCCAGCTGAAGAGAAACTGCCCTGAATTCTCTTTCCAGGGCCAATGCAGGGAAGGTAGGATTCCTGAACAAGCATCCAGAGGTTGCCTTGGGAGGCCCAAATCCCTGACATTTGGGAGGGGTCTCCCTAAGTTGGAATGCCAGCCCTGTGCTAACTTTCCTGGATGGGTTTCATCAAGCTGTTTGGTGATCATAGTTGCCAGGATGGTTATAAACATGTATTGGTTGAATTTATAAAGCTCCCCATCTCATGTGTAGGTTGGTCTAAATGGAGGGATAGAATCAAGAGGCGGTGAAGTTCCAATACCATTTTACAAAGCCTTGGTAAGACCACACTTAGACTATTGCATCCAGTTCCGGTCAGCACAATATAAAACAGATGTTGAGACTCTGGAAAGAGTGCAGAGAAGAGCAACAAGAATGATTGGGGGCTTGGAGGCTAAAACATGAAGAACAGTTACAGGAATTGGGTATGTCTAGTCTAATGAAAAGAAGGACTAGGGGAGGCATGATAGCAGTGTTCCAATATTTGAGAGGCTCCTACAAAGATGAGGGGGTCAAAACTATTTTCCAAAGTACCAAAAGGTAAGACAAGAAACAATGGATGGAAACTAACCAAGGAGTGAAGCACCCTAGTACTAAGGAGAAATTTCCTAATGGTAAGAGCATTCAACCAATAGAAAAGCTTGCCTTCAGAAATTGTGGGTGTTCCATCACTGGGGTCTTTAAAAAAAAGTGGAGAACCATTTATCTGAAATGGTATAGAGTATCCTGCTTGAGCAGAGGGTTGGACTAGAAGACCTCTAAGGTCCCTTCCAACTCTATTATTCTATATTCTATGATCCCATAATTAAAATAGCAGAACAAAAAAGTTGAAACTATTACAGCAAAACTGTTGAAAACAAAAACTACAAATGAAATACATGAGAGAATGCAGTCACAATCTTACACACAATACAGCCATTTTTGTGGGCTCGATATTTCCATGGGGTCCCCAGGGCCAATGGCAAAACCAGGTTATGAGGACCTTCTGGCAGGTCAGTATCATCAGGGCCACTCTCACCTTGGGGAGGAATGTTGCTTCAAAGGGTAAATGCCAGGGCCAACTCCTGGGTCCCATCAGATAAGTAGACGGAATCTATAACACGGGTGTCAAACTCTATTTCATTGAGGACCTCATTAAGTTATGTGTTTGGCCTTGAGGGGGTGGGGGCGTGGCCAGGGTGGACATGGCCAACTTGATGTCACTCGTGTCAGGGGTGCCTGTGGTAGCCCGAGTGCTCTGCCAAAAAAAATGGGCTCCCGAGTTCCGTTTTCGGCTGGGACGGCCTCCTGCAACCCTCTTGTCAGCGAACCCTCCCGAGCTCCGTTTTCACTGGCAGAAGGTTGCAGGAGGCTGTCCCAGCCGAAAACGGAGCTTGGGAACCCGTTTTCTCTGGCAGAGGCACCTCGGGCTGATCCTTTGCTCTTTACAGGGCGGCCCTGCAGGCTGGATCTAAGCACCCAATGGGCCAAATCTGGCCCCTGGGCCTTGAGTTTGACACCTCTGCTGTAACATGTGCCTCCTGCCAGATGGGTAGCATAACCAGTGAGAGGCAGTTTCTCAAATAAATGGGCTCCATGTTGTGTAAGATATGAAAGATCCCCAGCACTTTGTATTGAACTGGGAAGCAAACTAGCAGCTAGTGTAGCTTGCTTTCAACTTTTAAAAAGTTGTCTTCAATTTCAGAAAGCTTTTGCAGGGGAGTCAAAGTTCTAAGAATAGCTAGAAAGTGGATTTTAAGTAAAGACCCTCATAAATTAATCCTAACTCCTGGGGTCATTTTCTTGGCAACAGTCAGTAAAGAGATTTGCTGCTACATTCTCTCTGGTTGTTTTTCCATCACCTTAGTCTGGTCTACAGATCTGACATCCTAGCCTCCCATCCAAGCTTGATCCTAACCAGGTTCTGCTTAGCTTAAGATCAGCCAAGATTATCTAGGTGGTGCAATTTACAGTAGGTATGTGGATTCAATCATGTGACATAAGACATTATTTTTTATTCCATGAGCTCTTCAGCTAAAACTTAACAATGTTAGGTACTTCTTTGCTGGTTTCTCTACAAAGGTCGATATCTGCTATTAAGAAGACCTCCAAGGTTCCTTCCAACTCTGTTAATTTGTTATTCCTTAATTTGTTCATTCTTAGATTCAATTTATATGGCCATCCATCTCGACAAATGATTCTCAACAAAAAATACAGTAAAAGCAATTACAATAACCAAACGTTAATGTACGTAGTGATCAAGAATAAATCATACACCATACAGATAGTCCTTGCTTAGCCACCACAATTGGGACTAGCAACTTGGTCATTAAGCAAAGCAGTCGATAAGTGAAATTGTGACTCTGCATATGATCTTACTTCAATTTCCTTCGTTTTACAGAATTTCAAAGGTCATAAACGCAAAGATAGGCCACAAAGTTACTTTTCATCACACTTGTAATTGTGAACAGTTGCGGTACAAGATAGTCACTAAAAAAGCCATTAGCATGTGGTGCCTTTTTGTGCTTCTTATGCTTTAGGGTTTTTTTAAATTATACATTTCACCACCTATTTGAATTTCTCACAAATTTATATACTGCCAATTTCTGATGGACTCAAGGCAATTTACAAGATAAAAAAGTACATATAATAAAACAGGCACGACAAACTATCTAAAAGCCTGCACACCACTAGGCTGAAACACTTGATGAAATAGCCAAATCTGAAGCAATTTATGAATTTGGGGGCATTCGGTATTTTAAGAGGCAATATGTGCTGCAAGGTGAGGACAGCTTCAGAGAAGGCCTATCACAGATGTGGGACCTTGTATGGTAATGGCATCTTATTTCTAAACACTTACAATTTATAAGACGCTTTGGGTATTTTAAAAATATGGATGGGTACGTAATGAAGAAATGAACCAAGTTAAACATTGAAAATTAGAAGTGGCAGAATTGTGTGATCTCGTAGAAAGTTTCCAGTGGGTGTGGAGTAGGTGATGTCATAGTCTTAAGGGAATGACATCATTGCTTTGTGATCTTGCTGGGCTAGTGTAGAACTGATGAAATAAAGGGGCCATATTAGAAGAACCAAGTGGTTTATGAAAGGCAGAAATGGCCCACTGTTGGATGGATAAGGTCAGTGTAAAATTGAAGGAGAATCCAAGGAAAATTGATCAATGTATAATATCAAACGACAAAAGATCACCAACCAGACTGGACTAGCTGGCAAGGGAGATGTCTTACGTTATTCCAGTCAAAGTAGTTTATGATCCATATCAAAGCCCATATTCCCATCATGATAATGAACCTCCAAGGACAGTTTCGCCTCAGCGGGAATGGATCCTTAGTCCACAGTCCCGTCGAAGGAGCAGCCCTCCAATGGCACCTCTCTCTCCGCCAAGAAGTGAGATGGCTAAAACTGCTTCACCCCAGAGAGGAAGTGACATCAACCGGAGCACCTCCCCCCACAGAGGAAGTGAAGCTTCCCAGGGCACAATTCCCCAGAATGTTTATCCTCAAAGAGGAAGGGTAAATGAAGCTCCCCGAAGATCTTATCCCACAGGTTCCTCCTCACGGAGAGGGAGTGAAGTCCCACAGGGTACTGCTAATTTTCAGAAGGGTAGTGAGGCTGCCCAAAGGCTGTCTTCTCCAAGAGGATTGATCCCCACTTCTTCAAGCCCTTCTTCACGGAGAGAGAGTGAGGTTTCCCAGATTTCTTCGTTTCAGCAACCAAATGACCCAGCACAGAAGATTCCTCCTCAGAAAGGAAACAATGCCACCAGGAGTGCCTCACCATACAAAGGGATGGAGGTCCCACCAAATGTCTCACCCCATCGAGGAAGTGACTTCTCTCAGAGTACTTCCTCAAGGCGAGGGAGCCAATTTAACCCGAATGCTTCACCCCAAAGAGAAGCCAACCTTCCACAACAAGGAAAGGCAGCAGTCCGAACCATATCTCCTCAAACTGTCATGGAATCTCGTAGAAAATACTCCATCCATCCTGGCCAGGTTAAAATGACAGCTAGTCGTATGCTTATAGCAATGAAGCACAGCCTGAATTCACAAAGAGAGGAGATGTGCCAGAGACTCCGATCTGCATCAACTGCAGAGAAATCGGAAATGGAGAATAAATACATCCCAGTGTGGAATGACTCCCTCCCACCAATTCCCCGATACGTTGAAAAACCTGCTAACCGCTTAAAGGATGCATGGACTCAAACATCTAAGATGACTTCTCAGTTAGTGGCTGAACAAGGACAGCAATATACATCCCGAACCCCAAAGAAATTAATGGGTAAACATGTTTCCAGTCCAAAAGATAAATGTATTCAAACAGAAACTATTTACCAAGACCCCTTCTTTTCAAAAAAGGAGACCCCTCAATTAGAGATGTGGACTAGAACAACCCAAACCCCACTTCCTGGAGCAGAAGCTAGGTCCAAAGCATCCCCAGTGCCAACTGTCGTCGTGTCTTCTTATTCAGAAATTAAACCAAATTATAAGTGTGCTTTCGATGCAGAACGTGGATCAGATTATATGAGGCCATTCTATCAAGAGATGGACACAGTCCGCAAACATTCTCTCTCTCCAAGGTCTGAGTTACTTCACCGAACTTCTCTCTCCTCAGAGGCTGAGAAGAGAAAGAACTCTCTCCTAACATGGACTGAACCAGTGTGCCAGCATGCTGTACCTACGGAGCTTGATGTGAGGAGGAACCTCCAAACAAGACAGGAATTGACCCAGGAAACCAAAAGGCCTGTCATCCACCCAGAGACCGAGTCTGAGTATCGTTGTCAGCTCCACCAAGAGATGGAGGCCAAGGACTTCACACCTGTTCTTTCTCTTGGAGATGAGTTACTCTCCTGGATCCCAGTTTCTACCTCAAATACGAACATCAAAGAACATTACCCTATTCACAAAGGCTCCCTACGGCAAAAGAAAGAAGTAAGAAGATACCAGGAGAAGAAAGCAGTACCTTACTCAACTCACCAGGAGCCCTTGTGGCCTGAATCTCTACCAAGTGACCAAAATGCACTCCTCCGTAAACCTGCTTTCCATCCAGAGAGTGAATCCGAGTATAGGTGTATGCTGCATCAACAACTGGAAGCAACCCAGAAGCAGTTCTTCACACAAGGAGCTGAGCTCCTGCCTCAGAGGAACTTGCTCACCAGCAGGCCTGAAACCACACCCAAGGTCATACCTGAATTTCACCCAGAGAATCTTGACACCACTTGGCTGGCTGCAGTGAATATTGACAAGGATTTGAAGTGCTCTCTTCAGCCCGATGCAGAAACAAACATCAGAGACTTGCCACACACCAAGGTTGCCAGGACCTGTGGAATCTTACCTCCGCGCTGTCTAGAGAAGTTTGGACCTCAATCACCTTGGTGGTCTTTACTTCAAGCAGACACCAGCCATCTGTTTCCACAGTCGAAGAAGTGCACCAGTCAACCAGCCCCAGACTGGATGGAGACATACAGAAGTTTCTCAGTTCCAGAACCTAGGGAGCATTGCACTGCCCACCTAGCTCCAGACTGGCGAGAGAGACACTTCAGTGGGCCAGCTCAAGAACATTTATTGGACAAGCCAACTATGGAGTCAGAGGCAGTCTCGGATTTCCCATCTGACTGTGTTACAGTCCCAAGGAAAAAGAAGGCAGTGGTGACAATGCGCTCAGAAAAACCACCTACTTCCTTGGCTTCCCAGCGTAGAGGCCAAGGACCAGAACGTGCAATCTACAACAGTGAGGCTGATGACCTCCTCAAGTTACAGAGAGGGAAGTCAGTTGCCAGGTTTAGTGCTTTCTTTGTGGGTATGTTATCGAAGTTTAAACTATGCTTACCCTCCTGTCCCAGAGGCAGCAGAAAGCCTTGCTGCTCCCCAGAGCAGGCAGTTATGGTTCCCTTGTAATGAATCTATGCTGCACTTCTACTCCTGTAGCTTTAATGTGCAACATTATATTGTAAGAGCCATCATTGGTAATTCCCTTGGTTACAGTTCCTACTCTGCCCACCTTAACCACCAATGTGGAAATTCTCTCCAGTTAGCATGCACAACTCTTTTGGATACCTTTGTGTTGCAATGTTAATTTATTTTTTTCATTCTCATTGTACCATCAGTCTGAACTTTTTCATAGTTCCTTGAAACTGTGATGTATTGACCACTAGGTGGTAGCAAAGAAAGTTTTTGTGTCTCATGCCTGCCATCGAGTGGTCATCCATATTAGTGCAGCTACCAGATAATACTGTTGAAGAGCTGGAGTTTGAGAAATGGGGCTAGGCTATGGGGAGCAATGTGAGAACTATAAAGTACCTTAGGGACAAAAAGCAAGGAGTGAAAAGGAGGAAAGAAAATTCCCTGCCAGGCAAGCTTATATAAGGACAAGTCCTTCGGGAGAAGGGCGGTATATAAATTTAAATATTAAATTAAAATTAAAAATTAAAAGGTATACTCTTTCTGTTATAATTCGGTTACATGCATCAAGACAAGAATATAGGCTAGTCGGCCCATTTTAAAGAAGAAAAAAACACCTGGGATTCAGGTGATCCCCATAGCTGAGAGGTGGGAAAACAGGTCAAAGACCAAATAAACAGGGAAGCATCAATTGGTTAATTAGTGCTACACATTTGTGGATGTGGAGCCTATCATTTCAGGCTATCTTCCCCGTGCATATGACTATATCCTAAATTGCCCATGTGCAAGATCTGGAGGTGGGATAAGAGAGAAAGTACTACTAAAGGATCCCTGGGTGTCAGGAGCCAGGAACCAAGTATTAGAAGAAATTCTGGTTCATTCTGAGCTGGGTTTCAAAGAGCACAGGACAATGACTTGAAGTAAAAGTAGAGTTTATTTAACAGCAAAACAGCTTAGCAGTCAAAGATAGCCACGAGTTAAAAGAAAGAGTCGGCTACATTTATAGAAGAACATGTCTTTCTTTTAGGGCATGCATGAACACAGTCTACCCCAGAGAGTGTACTGGGTCCATTAGGGAGGAAATGTGGTTTCTCACTCTGTGGAGTTTTGAAATCCTTGCCCTTTTTTGAGTCCAGGTGTTGACTTTGAGTGATGGGTTTAGAATTGGGGGAAACATTGTGTGTATAAAAAAGTATCATATCTTGAGGGAATTTTCCTTAGTTTTAATTGAATTTTCATTATTTACCAATTTCTTAGCAAAAGACACGCTTAGTCTTGTTTCAGTCTAGATATCAAAATCAGCAGAAAGGCTTAAGTGAACTTTTGTTTGATTGTCCAGCCTAGAACTATTGAACCAACTTAGAACTAAGGAGAAATTTCCTGACAGAACAATTACTCAGTGAAACGACTTGCCTACAGATGATGTGGGTGCTCCAACACTGGAGGCTTTTAGGAAGAGATGGTCTTAAAAGAGATTTTTCTGAAGTGATATAGGGTTTCTTGCCTGAACAGAGGGTTGTACTAGAATAGGGGCCTCCAACCTTGATTTGTGGACTTCAACTCCCAGAATTCCTCAGCCAGCTGGCTGAGGAATTCTGGGAGTTGAAGTCCACAAGTCTTAAAGTTGCCAAGGTTGGAGACCCCTGTACTAGAAGACCTCCAAGATCCCTTCCAACTCTGTTATTCTATTATTCCGTTTGGGATTCACTGTCTGGTCAGGGATGTTCAGGATTAGAGTGGCATGGATGGCAAGGGTGGCATGGAGGTTTTCTTTCTCGCACAAGAATGACACAAGAAGTTACTCTACAGTGGTTTTATTGTTGCATGCCTATATAATCGAATCAAATCGAATTCTTTATTTGGCCAAATGTGATTGGACACACAAGGAATTTGTCTTGGTGCATACGCTCTCGGAGTACACAAAAGAAAAGATACATTTGTCAAGAATCATACGGTACAACACTTAATGATAGTCATAGGAAAACAGTCAATATAAATCTTAAGGATACCAGCAACAAGGTTACACTCATACAGTCATAAGTGGGAGGAGATGGGTGATAGGAACGATGAGAAGATTAATAGTAATGCAGACCTAGTGAATAGTTTGACAGTGTTGAGGGAATTATTTGTTGTAGCAGAGTGATGGCGTTCGGGAAAAATAACTGTTCTTGTGTCTAGTTGTTCTGGTGTGCAGTGCTCTATAGCGTCGTTTTGAGGGTAGGAATTGAAACAATTTATGTCCAAGATAGGAATCAGGCCAGACTAAAACACAAATCTGTGCTATTATATGTGCAATATATCCTGTGCAATATATCCTGTGAAAAGTTAGGGAGGGCCCGCTGTGGGTCTCTTCACGCCAAAGATTCCACTCTGAGCTGCCTCTTTGCTCCTTGGAAAAAGACCCCCTGATGTACTATATTCCACCACACTGGACTGCCTACTTGCGGATGGATATTGAGAGACAGGTACGGTAGTTGTATGTGTGGACATCTCTCTGGAAATAGTTAAAGGGTTGTCCTTATGCCAGAAGGAGGCTCCATGGATTTGTCCTCAGCTTAGCTATAGAGCCCTGTTCAGTAGCACTCTGTTTGGCTCAAAAAACCAGGCCAGAATCCAGCTGATCTCTCCTGAGGCCATTCTGGTCTTTTGAAGAAAAAAGTGAAACTGGTTTTCTGATAGTTTCTCCTTGCAGTTCTGCTTGTGGACAAGAGGTGGCACCCCAATGGCATCTTTGCAAGGACCGCGGCTCAGCAAAAGGCAGGCAGGCAGGCAGTTGCTCACTTTTTCTCCACCAGATCTTGGCCGCTTCAAAGTGATAATTAAGGAGCCGGGCATTTTGTGTGGGAGGGGCAGCAGGAAGTGGCAGGGCGCACAGAAAGAAGAACCTCATGCAGCCCTTTTTGGCACTGAAGCGACTGATGCTTTTTATCCAGGCAATAAATTTATTTTTTTTAAAAACAACAATCCAAAGTTATTTCAGTATTTTTGGTTTCCTAACTCACATGCTGCTATTTCATGGGCACAAACGGTAGAGGAAAATACGTCAAAAACATGCCCGCCTGAATGAAATCTTAAAAGACAATTAAAAGAATATGTTTGACTGAAGAATTTGGGGATGGCCCACCAAAGGGGTAGGTGGATGATTAGCCAAAAGCGAAATAGTTGCATTATTAGCTATGATAATTAAAAGATTATTACTGACGTCGTGGCTCAGTGGCTAAGACGCTAGGCTTGTCGATCGAAAGGTCGGCAGTTCAGTGGTTCGAATCCCTAGTGCCGCGTAACGGGGTGAGCTCCCGTTACTTGTCCTAGCTTCTGCCAACTTAGCAATTCGAAAGCACGTAAAAAATGCAAGTAGAAAAAATAGGGACCACCTCTGGTGGGAAGGTAACAGCGTTCCGTGCGCCTTTGGTTTTCAGTCATGCCGGCCATATGACCACGGAGACGTCTTCGGACAGTGCTGGCTCTTCGGCTTTGAAACGGAGATGAGCACCGCCCCCTAGAGTCAGGAATGACTAGTACATATGTGCAAGGGGAACCTTTACCTTTATCTGGTTTAGAGGCAGTCATCTAGCTCATCTTGTCTGATATCGAAAAAGTTAAGTAAGATTGGACCTTATTAGTATTTGGACAGAGTACTGTTTGTTTGTTTTGTTTTGTTTGTTTTATTTGATTTGTATACTGCCCTACTCCCGAAGGACTCAGGGCGGTGAACAGCCACAAGATAAAAACACATTAGTACAAAAATTAAAACAAAATAAAACCGAATTAAATAATTTGGCTGAAGACCGATTTAAAACACCCCAATAAATTAAAACCAATTTAAAATTTGTATTTTAAAAGGAAAAAAGGGAAAGTGGTTGTAGTCCTTGACTTACAACCACAGTTGAGCCCCAAAATTCTGTTGCTAAGTAAGACATTTGTTAAATGGGTTTTGCCTCATTTCTTATCACAGTTATTAAGGGAATCACTGCAGTTGTTGAGTTAGTAGCACAGTTGTTAAATGAATCTGGATTCCCCATTGACTTTGCTTGTCAGAAGGTCTCAAAAGGGGATCACATGACCCCGCGATCCCGCAATTGTCATAAACGTGAGTCAGTTGCCAAGAATCTCAATTTTGATCACATGACCATGGGGATGCTGTAATGGTCATAAGTGTCAAAAAGGTACTTTTTTCAGTGCCAGTGTAACTTTGAATGGTCACTAAATGAACTTTTGGCAGTTGGCAGTTGACTGGCCTGTATAGATATGGTTTAATTGGGTCTTCATGCCTCAGTTGGATCGTTTCTCTTGTTGGAAGAAATTTCCTTGGTTCATTCGCCAGCTGGGACGCAGTCACCGGCACTGAAAAGAAATTGACACTGAAGCAGGCTGCCAGAAAGTAGAATCCTTTAATTCAGAAAGGCAAGAGGATGTACTGACTCAGCTTAAGCGTCCCTGGCTAGCTAGCAAATTGGGGAGGCAAGCCCATGCCTTTTTATACTTGATTTTCCTTTGAAGCTCCTACAGTTTGATGGGTTTTGATGTGCCTCTAGCTGAAGTGATTGCCTGGGATTTTTGTTTTCCTGGGTTAATGGGTTAATCCTGGTCCTAGGCAGGAAGGAGGTGTTCTAGTGTGCCTCAATGTGCCTTTCTGGGTTATTTTTAGTTTAATCCTGTTTATCTTTATTGCTCTCTTAAATGTTTCCATGGTCAGGCTGTTACTTTGTTCATGGTTTTTTTGGCAGCATGCCCAGACTTTCAATTAGCCTAAGCGGCTGTTCTGAGTTTTCTTTTCAGTTGGTGCCTTAGCTTTGGGGTTTTGATTTTCTTAAAGGGGAAGGGCTGCTTTTAGTTTTTTGGCATTGCTTTAGTGGTTCCTGGCACTGTCCTTTTGGGGTGTTCTTCCCACACTCTGATTTACCCAGGACTCTTTCTATATCTCCACTAATACCTAACCATAGCACAAATGTACCTTGACTGCATCTCTTTCTCTCTTTTATTTTACATGTTCTCATTACATTATGTTCCTCTCATTCCCTGCCCGTGAATAAGACAGGTTTAAGTCATCCTTTAAGTGTACTGGTATTAAAGTATTATTTTACTTATAATTTTAAGTATTCAACGACTGTCTCAAGGTATGTAAAATCTCTCACCTTTTACTTTTGTACACCCATTACCTTGGCAGAAAATCAGGAGACTGGCAGCTGCTAAAACAGAGGCAACAGAGGCAGGACAGGGATCAGCAATGGGGCTGTGGCACATTTCATGCTGGCATCATTTCTGGTTCAAAGATGGCTTGAGAGCACTTTAGCTCAGCAAAGGGGAAAGGCCCTATTACTCATTAATGATTTAAAACACAGTTTCAAAACCTGACCTGGATTTATTTTACTTTTTTTTTTTGCTACCCACAGCAAACAATTGAGTTTGGGGAGAATATAATAAGGGATCCATGTCCCCCAGATCACGAGAACTATAGGTCCTGGCTAGGCCACTTTGGAGTACCTGACTATCGACAAATTGTGCAAAGTCCGGCATTGACCTTTGAGCCAATGGAAATTGCACATCCCCGATTTACAGGTTTAAGGCTATAAGTGTGCAAATTGTACCGTTGGGCACAGCTTCATCAGGTTAGGCAAAGCCTCAGCAGATTCATTTGTTCAACATGCTCAGCTTGTTTAGTATCACTTTGATTCATTTAAAAAAAAAAAAACTTTGTGTGTCGTGCAAACCCAGTGCATTTGGTTGGTTGAGTTAATTCAGCTGCTCAGGAGAAGTAAGTTTTGTGGAAGCAGCCAATTTTTATAAGTGAAAAGCTTCTCCTCTGTCAAAGGCAAACAGAGGCAATCACAAAAATGCATTTCTTGTGAACAATTAAATGCATAATCTTTTGAGCTAAGCTGCACATATTTCCTTGGTGCAGACTGTGAGCAGATCCATATATACAGTTAATGGAAAGTACGCAAAAACATTTCAGCTCCAAAACGGATCTTCTTAGTAGTATATAATTGGAGCCCTTCTTTCAAAAGGAGGCTTGCAGTGAGACCTAGATGGGTAGAGTAGAGGATGCATCAGGACTGGCAAAATTTAGGGATCCTTTTTTACCTAAAGGACTGCCTGAACCAATACAAGTCTGCCCAGGCTTACAACCAGCCAGGGAAGCGCTTTAAAACTGTAGCACTTTAACTCTATAAATAAATTATACTGGGCTGAAAGTACCAGGAAGAAACTCTTTCGGGAGTGGCCCCATATTTACCAAATCCTTTCCTCCAAAAATATAACAGTCCTGCCACTGGAAATAATTAAGGAACTCTACTTTCATTTTAGTCAGATTGTTATTCCTTGCTATTGGCATTTAATGGTTGAATTTTAAGGATTATAAGGTGATTTTAATTCAAGATCATGGAAACTGAAATGGAATGTTGCAGGGAGCCCCTCAAAATCTTGGCCACTTAAAACCTAATTTAATTTTTTTTAATTTTAATGTGAAAATGCTTTGATATTACGGTTAGGCATTCGGTCAGCCAGATGTTTAGACTGGATTTAGCATTTCTGACCGCTTATCGAGTCCTTCCCAGGACTTGGGATAGGCAGATAGGTTGTTTGATGGAGTTAAAAGTATCATTGCAGGATGAAATCTCTTCCAAGTACTGCCTTTTGCAGTAGATTTTGTGATTTTGTCAATGTTGACAGTGCTCGTCGTATTCCAGATGTTTTGGGATTGCATTCAACACACCTATTAACATTGGTACTAACTTTGCCTTCTTTTGCCACAGTTGTTATACTTCTATTTGCAGGTCTTAATACTTTGCGATATTCTCCAGGTTTTTTTTGTTATCTGTTCTGCTCTCTCCATATTGAAATGTCTACTATCCAGACTTTTTTGTTTTTCTTATCAAAAATAGTTAAGTCTATTAAGTCTAATGCTTGTCTCTTTGAATTCTGAAGTCCCAGAGCACTTCTTTCTTGCAGATATTATTATTGTCTTCATTTGGTGTTGACTAGTCCAGTGTTTCTCATACTTGACAATTTTAAGATATGTGGACCTCAACTCCCAGAATTCCTTAGCCAAATTTGAGAAACACTGGATTTAGTCCCTGTAGGGTTTTTATTTTTAGTAATATTTTTGGAAAGTTTTGCCATTGCTAAACTGTCTTTTTTTTTTAAAGTTTTTTTTTATTTTATAGACAAACAAACATACAATACATAATCAATCATTCAGTGTATCATCTGAGTACATCTTTTGTGTCTTCTCACTCCTCCAACCTTTATCATATCTTGATATTATCATTTCATTTATTGTAACATTTCTCCCTCATTTAATACATTTATCTATCCTATATATATATCTTCTCTAACCAATGGTAAAATTGCCCCATATTTTAAAGTATTCCAATTTCTCTCTTTCTTTAATTGTCAATCTATTCATTTCTGCACATTGCTAAACTGTCTTCATGCCTAAAACAGAATTACAACTCATAAGTTGCATTTTTTTTTTTTACCTGGTTCCTTAATTACTATGCCAACCTGGCTCTTCATATTAATTGGTTTTTTTTCCTGTGTGTGTGCCTTTGAGTCAGTGTTTATTTATTTATTGGTTCAATTTATATGCCACCCTTCTCCGGAGACTCAGGGCGGCTTACAATGTGTTAAGCAATAGCCTTCATACTTTTGTATATACCTGCTTAGTAGGGCTTTCGCCCCCCCCCAAAGCGGTGTTCTTTTTTATACAAAGTCAGCTTATTGCCCCCACAATCCGGGTCCTCATTTTACCTACCTCGGAAGGATGGAAGGCTGAATCAACCTTGTATTGACATCTAGTGCAGGAGTCTCCAACCTTGGCAACTTTAAGCCTGGAGGACTTCAACTCCCACTTACCTAGGTTGGAGACCCCTGCTCTAGTGGACTTCCTGGAGGGTTTTTTTTTTTTGCAACATTTTTCAGAGGTTGTTTGCCATTGCCAGGGCTGAGAAAGAGTGACTGACCTAAGGTTACCCAGCTAGCTTTATGATCAAGGTGGAACTAGAACTCACAAATCTCCTGGTTTTTAGGCCAGCATCTTAAACACTACACTAAACTGGTTCTCCATATTAAGTGTACGTATTCATTTAATATCAATAATCAAGTAAATTTGAATAAAATCCAACTTAATTTATAGCGTCTTCCTCTCCTCTTCTTTATCTTGACCCCCACTTACCCCTTTTACTTATTCAAAGGCTTGTTGTGGCCCTAGGTCTCAAAAAAAGGCTTGCCTTGTATTATATCTTATTAATCTTTATGATAGCTATTATTGAGTTTGGGTGATAAACACTGGAAGCCACCAAACACTGAATGTAGAAGGGGACATTTAGAAATCTAGCTTGCAAGCAGAAGCCTATTAAAATGAACAGGATTGGCTCAGAGTCATGAATGTGTGTTCAGCCCATTGATTGCAAAATGAAAAATAGCGTTTTTGCTTGGGCCCTTCCTTCTCTGTGCAGAAAATGTCCTTGACCATTGAATGATGGGGACACATTCCATTTAAATAAATAGGAATACATTCAGTAATACACAACCTTTGTTTGCTAAGGGTCAGATTAGTTCCAAGGCAAGGCTCTTAATGCTAAACCAATAACTTTCAAGTAGGAAAGGTTTGGTAGAGAGGAGAAGGGATCAGCACAAGGTTCTGGTGGGAGGTGGAAATGTAGCAGGTTTTGAACCAGTTCTTAAGGTCAAAATCTGACCAGGATGAGGAGCATAAATGGAAGGGTGAGTAGTTGAGTCCACTCTCTCATTCAGCCACAGCTGCACTGCAGTTCCTAACCATTTTCTTTATCTCTGTTCCAGATGTCTCGGACAAGATGTATACTGACATTCTCTGGTGGCTGAAAGGTGGGTATTTGGAGCTCATAATCTCAACTCTGAAAAGACAAAAGCAGGCCTCCTGTTTTATTTCACTTGTCCTTGGCTCACAGCCTTTACTGAAAGATGCATCTTTTCTGTATTCTTTTCTGTACTTCACAAACATCAAGTGTTGTAAAAACAGGATGATTGAGTAGGCCCTTCACATTTCTAAAGGAAATATTTGATTTCAGGTATTAAGCAATACTTTGTTTTGCTTCTGCTTTTCAGTGTTATACATGGAAAATGATGTTGAATTATTATACCACTCGTAGCTATTGGATTAGGACATTTTGCATTTATATTTTACTGTTTAGGACATAATCCTACGCATACTTAATAGAGAATAAGCCCCACTGACTTTAGCAGATTTGACTCTTGAGTAAGCAATGAACTCACTGCACAGTGAGTCTATTTCAAAGGAAAATGGTTAACCCAATATATCTCCCAAGAGAACTTCATTTTTTTTACAGTGAAAGGGGTTCTAAGGAGTTTCCAAATATGTGGGAAATAATATTTGGGCACAATTCTGTTTATAGTTATGAGAGAGTCACTTCCATTGAACCCAGTAGAGCTTCCAAGGAGACATGTAGAGGATTTCACTGTTAATTACATTTGATTCATATGAATGCAACTCAACAGCAGACATTTCATCTTTTTTTAATTAACATTGCAAAGGTCATTTGCCATTTCTATTTCATATGAGCTGTGGCAAATGTACCTTGAAGTGTGCGTATAACAGCTATGAACAGCTTTGACTGCCTTAAATCAGATCTAGGATGATAACAAGTAAACATGTGATTCATTATCTAAATTAGTGCAATTGGCTAATTCACTCTATTTAAATAAATTTAACTACAGCAAAACTTTAAAGAAGGTCTTTAAGCATTCTAACAGAAAGCAGTTAGGCAAATATGTGTATAGCAAAGTAGTATACAATGATACTTAAATCTGAGTGGATTTTTCTCCACCAGTTCTGATATTCATTATCAAGTTTGCATTGTAAACTTATGTTTTTAAAAAGTAAAGGCTCCCCTCATCTACCCCTTCCAATTTGAGACTGTAGTATTATGCCTTGTATTAGGGCATGCTGTGTAGCTTCAACAGGTAATGAGTACAATATCCCTTATTGTGGAAACCAGCTTTAAAAGAAGTTGCCTTCAGGTGAATAATACTAGTTTTATTGGAATGGTGATAGCATTTGGGCAGGAGAAGGAAGTCTTAAGGTGGGCCCAGTTCAGAGGTGGTATTCAGCAGGTTCTGACCAGTTCTGGAGAACCGGTAGTGGAAATTTTGAGTAGTTCGGGGAACCAGCAAATACCACCTCCGACTGGCCCTGCCCCCATCTATTCTCTGCCTACCAAGCTCCAGCTGATTGGGAGGAAATGGGGATTTTGCAGTAACCTTCCCCTGGAGTGGAGAGGAAATGGAGATTTTACAGTAACCTTCCTCTGCCACGCCCACTAAGCCACACCCACCAAGCCATGCCATGCCATGCCCGCCAAGCCATGCCCACAGAATCTGTAGTTAAAAAAAAATTGAATCCCACCACTGGCTCAGTTAATAGGTTTTAGAAGGTGGAAATAGATAGGATGAACATGAAAATGGATGGAACATGAAGGAAGTCAGGGTTTTCTGTTTCTCTTCTGGATTTTAGGGAAGATAGGGGCTTTTTGTTTACTTTTTTGGAATTGCCCTAAGATGGTTTAATAGTTTTTTTTTTTCTGTGAGTGCCATCTCAAAAAACTATGAGAAATTATGCTGACCACTTTTGGCAGTTTTGGGAATTGCCAAAAAGAGATTCAGGGGATGTCTCCAGCCCTAAGGGAGTTGTGCCACTTTCTGCTTCTGATGGCAAGTTCATCTGATGTTACTAATCAGGAATACGGCAAGTGTCTCACTTCTGAGACTTTAAACTTTGTTTTTGTAGTTTGGGCTAGGTGGTGTCCATCCTGAGATTTTAATCCCTTTCCTGCAAACTGAGGATGAAAGCTGCAACCCAGAAAGCTGACAACCAAATGAAATAGGCAGATCTAATCTCTTTTGCACTCATTCAGAGCAACAGCAGCTGCAACAAAAAAGAAGCTGACATGAGGTCAGTGTGTATTTGTTGAACCTTCCAGGCGTAACCTTCTCTGTCCATTGCAAGGGAGGAAATCTTGATGAGCAGCCCTGCATATGAATCACTCCTCCTCTGTTGTAATGGAGAGAGAAACTGGTATGGAAAGAGAAATTTCAGTTTGGATTGGAGTTTTGCTAGAAGTAGAAAAATTTTGGGTTCAGTTGAATATATTTTTGAGTCAGGTGGAGCATGGTGCTGACTCACAGGGTTGTGCATACTTAAAAATGCTTTGGCCCACCCTGAGTGCAATATCTCTCTCCTGTATATTAACATAGCTTGAATAAATGATGATGATGATGATGGATCATCATTTGGAACACAACACGCCAGCTATCACAGTTGTCAAAAACTGAAGTGTACAATTTATTGATATTGCTGTACCAGGAGACGCCAGAGTCGAAGAAAAAGAACTGGAAAAAATCACGAAATATCGCAATTTGGCCATTGAAACTACGCAATTATGGTTGAAACATGGTACCATGTCCAAGAATTTTACAAAATACATCAGGAAATTGCCGTTTTCTGCAATAACACCAGCGGAACTGCAAAAAACTGTGCTACTCGGAACATCGTACATTTTAAGAAGCTACTTGGTGATACCTAAGATGCTGGCAGCAACCCGTATCAACCATCAGCGCCAGTCAGTGGTATTTGTGATACATTTTTAAATGTTCAGTTGACTGAGTTTCATGTTTAATGAATAAAAGAGATAATATTAAAATAGAAGTATATTGACGATGGCAAACAGAAGTAGAATGGTTGTGGCAAAAGAAGGCAAAGATAGCACCAATAGTAAAAGGTGCCTTGGGTGCAACCCAAAAGCAACTGGAGCACACCTGAACACCATTAACATTGACAAAATCACCACCAGTCAATTGCAGTTATTTGTAACAGTTTATATCTTGGGACAATACCTTTAACACATCAAACAACAACTGCCTATTCAAGTTCCTTGGGAAGGACTCAATAGGTGGATAAAAATACCAAATCCAATATAAAATCTTGCTGACTATGCAACCAATTGAAACAACAACAATAATGATTATTATTATATAATATTATTATATTAATATAATAATAACAAAAACACCCATGAAAAGAAGATAAAGAACAACAAACAAACAAACCCCAAAACACCTGATTAAGAACTATCACCTAGAAACAAGGAAAATTAAGCAAATAATAAATCAGCAAATAACTGCGATAGTCACGAAGATCGGCAGATGCAAAACTCAAATTGCACACTACATGCAGAATCCCCAATTTCGGTGGAATCATAAATATTTCTACCAATCCATCAATACAGAGTCTGCACCCGATAAAGTCAACACCCGATAAAGAGGAAACAATGTAGTTCTGGATGCAGCTATGAGACAGCCAAAAGAAATACAACAAGAATGCAGCTTGGACAAAGGAGGTGGGTAAAATTTAAAAAAAAAAGAACTTGTAATAACAGCAGAAAGGGTGGAGAAAAGGACAAGGAAGATCAAGAATTAGTTATACCAGGTGAAGATGAACTGCATGATTTTTGGTTGAAACATTTGACTGATCTACACCCACTCGTTTTCAAGCAGTTTAACAACATACTGCAAGGAGGTAAAATTGAAGATTGGTTAACATCTGGCAAAACCTCCCTGATAATGAAAGGTCCAACAAAAGGGGCAGTACCCGGCAACCACAGGCCAATTACCTTGCTAACCAACTAACTTTCAAATTGGCATGGTAGATGATGCAGTCCGACAGCATCTAGTTGAAAACAAGCTTTTTCCACCTGAGCAGAAAGGAAACTGCCCAAACAGCAGGGGAACAAAAGATCAGTTCGTAAATGACAAAATTATTTTGGAAAACTGTAAGAGAAGGAAGAGCAACTTGAACGTAGCTTGGATTGATTACAAGAAGACATCTGACTCCCTGCCACATGCTAAGAGCAGGAAAGTGTTACAGGGGTTGTGTTATAGAAAGTTGAAGGGGAAAAAAAAACAGAAGGGTTAATTCTGGCTGCACAAGGCCAAGCCTTAAGAACAAATGCATACAAAGTCAGAATTGAGAAGACAGCAACAGACAGCAAGTACTGCTCTGCAAAGAAGCTGAAGAAATAATTGACCACTTTGTTAGCTGCTGCAAGAAGATACATAGACTGGCTACCAAAAAAAAAAGCATGACACAGTAGTAACAATCCTGCTTTGGAATAATTGCAAGAAATGCCGTTTGTCTGCAAGCAAGGACTGATGAGACCACAAAATATAAAAGTAATAGAAAATGAAGAAGCTAAAGTGTTCTGGGACTTTAGAATTCAAAAAGTCAAGCACCTGTCATGTAATGTCCTAGAGACTTAACAACTGTCAATAAGAAAGAGAAAAATATCTGGACAGTGGACATGGCAGTACCTGACAGCAGAAGAGAAAGAACTGGAGAAAATCACAAAGTAATTAAGACCTGAAAATAGAGATATTAACAATTGTGGCAAAAGAAAGCAAAAATAGTATCAATATTAATTGATACTTCGGTGCAATTCCAAAATATCTGGAGCACCACTTGAATACCATCGGCATTGACAAAATCACCATCAGCCAATTGCAAAAGGCAGCTTTACTTGGAACAGCTTACATCCTGCAGTGATATATTTAACACATCAAACAACAACATCTATCTATCCCAGGTCCTTGGGAAGTATTTGATAGGTATATAAAAATGCCAAATCCAATCTAAACATCTGGCTGATGGTGTGACCAACAGTAATAATAATGGTTAGGACATGAATCACTAAGTTTCCACCAGTTTTAGACTTTGAATCAAACTGTAGATTACCTTCACATAGTGCTGCGGGCTATGGGTATAGCCAGTGGGCAATGATGTTACCAGAATGGTTGGCCCTAACTTTGGGGGGCAATTATTTTGTCCTTTGCCAGTTTAAGGGGCCAAAGTTAAAGGCCCTTTTCTTGGTTGAAATGATTGCCCAATTAGCTTTTCTTCCAGTTCTAAATTCCCCAGTTTGGTAATTTTGGTTCTACCTTCTCAGAAAACAGGGGTCCCTGACTTTCCCTCCTGCTCCAGGTTGCCCATTACTAATTGTTTATGTCTTCAGTTTGATGATGCTGTAACTATAAGCATCTAATATAGACCTTTCTCTTTCTGTCTAATCCTTTATTATCTTCTGATCGCTTTTCCTTTCAATTTTGGAAATGATGACTCCTTGGAATTTCCTCCCTCCAGATGAAGAGGTAAGAGAGAGAGAGAGAGAAATTATCCATGTAATGAGCTCTTCACTACTGTAACATTTTGGGAGATTTACAAACCCAGCTGGATTTGGTTTCACCCCTATTCTATCCCCACTTCTGTTTGGTAAGGACTGTTCTTGCCTCAAGTTTCTGGAATAGATAAAGTGTGTCTTATGTTTTGGGAAGAGATACAATGTTAGATGCCCTTTGTTTTCAATGATAATGTGTAATAGGTTGCATTAGCTAGACAATATTAACAAGAGAAAAAAATAGTTCAAGCAAATATTCAAGTCTGAAAAATGTGCACATTTATTTTAAACATACAGGTGGGTTGATAATTTCTGCTATAGAAGATCAATAATTTTGAATAGACCACAACCGGCTGGAATGCTAAGTCAAACCCAACAAAATAACATTTTATATGTAAAGTTGCGCATTTGAGTATCCCATATGCTCTTCTTCACCATATTTTTCTACCTCTCTGGATCTGATTTATGTGCAGAGTGCAAGTGTGCTCCCAAAGCCACCCAGATATTGACACCAAGTTGTAATTTATTGTGAATAAAAAGCAAGAAAAAAAACACCCTTTAATATATTAGCTAAAAATCATAATTTTGACTTCAGTAAGTTGTTTATTATAATTTTTGCCTACTTCTTAGGATGTGACCCCAGCATCCACCTGTAGTTTACTGAAAAGTTGTATATTTCCAAATTATGGAGCAATCTCATAAGATAACAGTGTTCTTCCTGTAGGTGGCAACATTAAATTAGCAATCAGCCAGCCATTCTGCAACCTTACGAGAGAGTTCACCAGTACAATAAAACTGTTTTTCAGCCAGGAGAAGTCAGTACAGCCTCTGTCCTAAATTGGGTGGAACAAGCAGTTTCAAGAAGCAAAATGCTGGGAGGGATTAATGAAAACACCTGCTGGTTTTTGTAGAATGCAAGTTTATTTAGGCCTTCAGTTAGCCAAAGTGTTTCTTCCTCAGATTTTGAAACATTTGACAAGGCTTCCTCAAATATTCACCTCAGGTCCGGGTGGGTAACCATGGCCCTTTTATGACTTGTGGACTTCAACGCCCAGAATTCTTGGCTGGCTCAGGAATTCTGGGAGTTGAAGTCCACAAGTCATAAAAGGACCATGCTTACCCACCCCTGACCTCAGGTAAGAATTCTCCATTGTAAAATCTAAAAGTTTGTTGTGAACCAGAGTTTTTGGTCAGCTAAGTTTCAAGAAGCATCTTTGGATATCTTTTTGTCTTGGTGTTTGGAGAAAGTTTATATAAAAGCCCATATCAATAGATAGCTAAGGTTTATAGGAATTGTAAACCAAATCTAAAAGGCAATAAGTTTAATTCATTGGTATGAACATAATACATGGTTAATAGACTAGTAAAATGTGCAACCCTCCCAAACTTCAACAAAAAAGGATGATCACACTAATTTTCTATCAATGTCCTAGCTGTGTGGTCCAGTGGTGGGTTGCTCCCAGTTCTGTCCAGTTCTATAGAACTGGTAGTAAAACTGGCAGGAGGCTCCGCCCACCTGCCATGGCATCATCATAAGTGATCTGCGCATGCGCGCTTCCACTGTGAACCAGTAATAAGGTAAGTAGAACCCACCCCTGGTGTGGCCCAGTGGTGGATTCCTCCCAGTTCGGTCCGGTTCGGCTGAGCCGGTAGCGGTGACGATATGACGTCACCAAACCTGTTCTCCCCCCCGCCCTCCCACCCCCCCCGCCCCCATGTTATTCTAACCTTTTATTTGGTCCCACCCCCAATCTATTGCTGCCTCCTGAGTCCCAGCTGATGACTAGAGGGAAAAAAACTGTTTAAACTCTTGCCGCGGGGCTTCCAAGGGCCGTCCTACAGCTAATCAGTGTTAAAAGCAAACAAATGAGTCGGGTCATAAGTGCGAGGACCTTCCAGAAATGACTCTGACCAGCTAGCCACGCCCACCTAGTCACATGACCTCCAAGCCACACCCACAAAATAAGTCACGCCCACAGAACCGGTAGTAAAAAAATTTAGAACCCACCCCTGGTGTGGTCCTTACCTTTCCTATCTATTGATATGGGCTTTATATATAGGAGCTTTTTCTTAGCATGCATCAGGTTTTCTGCCATAATTGACGTATTTGCATTTTAAAAGGATAATTTTAAAATATGGGAAGACATCCTGTATCAGTATAGATGGCCACTTCTGGCAGTGTCTTTATTTCTAAGAATGCCTCTTTGCCCAAAAAGAATTGCAAAAGCTCTCTTGAGATGAGTAAAGCCTAGTGCTTTGTTTGGAAGCGTCCCAGCACGTGCCATTTTGCAAGCCTGCGCACATGTCAAAAGTCCCAGTGGACTTGGGTTGCTACCAGATGAGAATGAGATTGACAGCTGCTGCCCAGACAGAGGAGCCACTGCACAACCCTTTGCCTCAGAGAGGTTCCTCTTGATTGCAGCATTCTCCCTATTCAGGGAAAAGGCTTTTTTGGGGGTGGGTGGGAAAACCCAAGCAGCTCTTCAGCAGGAAACAGGATAACAAGAAGTAACACACTTAGGCTGGAAAGAGCAACTCAAGAAAAATGGCTTCTGAGCTTTGGAACAAAGGTTGCCACTGTATAAGACAGGGTTCTCCAATCTTGGCAACTTTAAGACTTGTGGACTTCAACGCCCAGAATTCCTTTGCTGGCTGAGGAATTGTGGGAGTTGAAGTCCACAAGTCTTGAAAGTTGCCAAGATTGGAGACCCCTGGTATAAGAATTTGGGAAATCCAAGGGAGCAAAGAGGAAACCTTTTTCAGGAACTCTTATTTGTCTCCGAGGAACAGATCAAGAAATGATTTTAGTCAGATATCAGCACTGGGATATATAGGAAGTTCTCAACCTACGACCACAATTGAGCCCAAAATTTATGTTGCTAAGCGAAACATTGGTTAAATGAATGTTGCCCCATTTTATAACCTTTCTTGCCACAGTTGTTAAGTGGATCACTGCGGTTACCAGTCTTCGCCATTGACTTTGCTTGTCCGAAGGTTGCAAAAGGCGATCACGTGACCCTAGGACACTGCCACCGTCATAAATATGAGTCAGTTGCCAAGTGTCTGAATTTGGATTGTGTGACCATAGGGATGCTGCAATCATTGTAAGTGTGAAAAATGGTCAGAAGTCACTTTTTTTAGTGCCGTTGTAACTTTGAACGGTCACTAAATGAACTGTTGTAAACCGAGGACTATCTGTACTGTATGTTGTATTTGTGTACATCTAAATCTACTGTGGACACCAGTTTGGTATAGTTGTTAAAGCACCAATTTAGAAACAGGGAGATCCGTAGTTTTAGTCCTGCTTTGGGAACAAAGCCAGCTGGGTGACCTTAACAGTAACAGGGTTGGAAGGGACCTTGGAGGTCATCTAGTCCAACCCCCTGCTCATGTAGGAGACCTGTACTAGGGATTCAAACCACCAAACTGCTGACCTTTCTCATCGACAAGCTCAGTGTCTTAGCCACTGAGCCACCTTGGGCCATCTCTCTGTCTCTCTCAGTCTTTGGAAGATGGCAAGAGTGAACGTTGCCAAGAAAATTGCCAGGACTAGCCCAGAAAGTTGACAGGAGTGAATACTGACTCAAAGGCACACACAAACAATTTCAAAGGTCCTCTTGCAGAAACTTTCCTCCTATTTTAGTGTAGCACCTTAGTAGTTCTCATAGCTTCTGTCTGCCTTCAGAGGCATGGCTTTAATCTTACGGTAGCATATGAGAGAAATAAAGTTCCCACAGTCTAGGTGCCTTCTGGCAAATAAAAGGAGAAAAAGAAGAAGATAAAAATGAATTATCTGCAGCAGTGCCACACACGATTACATTGGCTACCTGCACTCAGATACTAGATCTGTTCATTTCCGTATGGCTATGTTCATACAAATGCTTAACCAAGTTAGGTGAGAGCCTAATGGATGCATGCACACAATCTGTTAGGCTTGGTTGTGTTAACTTGTTTAATTGCTTGATTTATTTTGCAACCACAGCCAATTTGGTTAGTTTATAAGTCCATGTATTACCAGGGCTCCTATATGGGTTAATTCGGCTTTTACTCAGGAAGAAATGGAATGCCACTTTTAAAACACCAGTTTGAGTATCTATCTCCAAATATGGATTATATTTTGAATGAATGAATGGAGACTGTATGCAATCTATGGGCCACTGGTTGGGCTGCCAGATATGGACTGCAAAACTACAAATTATCACTACATGACCACAAAAATGAGATATAAGGTATCTTTGCTACTAGCTATTGGTTGCTCAAATTTTTGTAACTTGGATCTGGTAGTTTTAGCTGCAGTAAAATCTCCCTGAAGTTGAGCTAAGAAGGAATTTGGCCAAAATGAAGGGAAGCCACTGCCCATCAGCATGGGCCTATTAGTCCCAATCAGCAGATTCTGTTTTATCCCAGGTGATATATTGCCAACAAATTAATACACAATTTACTGCATTTCATTTTCTCTTCTTTGATTCAACTTGTCATTTGGTTTTAAGGGCGACACCAAGTAGTTTACTGATTAAGTGCTAAGATCTAGTGCAACTTTTATACCGTATAAGAAAATAATGCATATAGATAGTCTTTGCTTAACAACCAATCACTTAATGACTGTTCAAAGTTATGATGGATCCTCAAAAAGTTATAACCCGTCCTCAGAGTTATGACACTTGCACACACACAGATACTTTTGGATGCTGGCAACTGGCTCACACTTATGACCGATTACAGTGTCCCACAGTCACACAATTGTGATTTGCAATTTTTTGCTGGCTTCTGGCATTTGGGAGAATGGATTTGCTTAATGACCATGTGTTTCATTTGACAACTCTGATGATTCACTGTACAAACATCATAAAAATGGTCATAAAATTGGTGATCTGCTTAACAACCGCAATGACATGACCAAAATTCTCGCCTTGATAGTGGTAGTTAAATGAGGATTACCTATACTTTCCTATTGAAAATAAGCCAGTTAATAAAATCTCCTTCTCCCTCCCTTTATTGGGAAGAGACAGTGACTTTGCATCATGACGGAGGTTATCCAAAAATGATGAATTATTCAGTCACTGTTTTGATAGTTCTTTTGAACTAAATGGCAG